AACCCCATCTCTTTCACTCTCACTCTCACTCCCTCTCTCTGCCTGTGGCTCGAAATGAATGCAAATTTAATACAAGCTTCGATATTTATTAAGCTTTTCGTTACTAATTAATAAGTAAAATACGCTGTTTTTGTGGCGGGCGTCGCTGCCACGCCCCCACAAGCCGAAAAGGCTGCAACGCCATAAATTGCAGCCACGAAAAACACATCTGAAAAATGCGCAGTGGGCGTTCTTAATTTTTTTGCAATCGTATTTACTTTGTTGCTCTTACTTTTGTTTTTACTTTTTGATTTTAGTTGATTTTTACTTTGTTTTGTTTTTATTTTTTGGGGCAACGAGTGGACAGCTAATTGATTTATGTGCGCCTTTTGTTAAAGCTCAGCGACCGAGTCTACCAACTGGAATTTTCATATAATTTATTGAAGGCGAGCCAAAAAGTGCTGAGGCTGAAGCGCCATTTCGAATATTTTCCCTAAACCGTTGCGAGGTATAAAAGTGAAAAGCCATACATATATTTCGTATGCCAATCAATTTAATTATTGGCGTCAGAATCTTGCTGGCATCTTTGATATCAAAGGAATCAGACAAAGAATTTCTCAAAAAACTGTTCACATTTGATTTCAACTCAAACAGTTTTCTACAGACTTATCGCGGATTTTTCCACAACTTTGAGTGGACTTTGAATGGAATGAATAAACGAATATTATATATTAGCCAAGTCTTTAATCATATTAGAAACTCTCACTCAAATTTCAGCCCTATCCCATATATCATATCACTTCTCCAGCATAAGGCCGCGCTGAAGTCCATAAGAAAAAGTATTTCCTTATTTTTTTTTCCTTTGCTGAATGCAATTTACAATTATTTCGTCTTTTTCTTTTGCATATGGAATGAAATTTGTGCTAAATGCTTTATTTGCCTACAGCATAATGAAGTGAATTAAAAAGCCACACATGTTGTTCAGCAAATTTCTTCAAAAGGAAACGCTCATCCCACAGCCAGCATACAATAACAACAACAACAACAACAGCAAAGGAAAAAGATCTCTTCGGACAGATACAAGATACAAACGCACAATGATGACTTTGGACAAGCATAAAGCATAAACTGTGACATTGTCAACATCAAAAATTGTACTTTTTTTTTACGAACTTTTCGACAACGAACGAACAGAAGGAACAAACGAGATTCCGCTTGACCACATACATATGAATTCTTGAGTTTGGGCTGCGCTTTAATTGCGGGAACGTGGGAAACTATTTAAATGGGCTGACATCAAACGCTGCCTCCTGCGCATTGCGCATTGCGCAAAATGTTAATGTGGCCCACAGCGCTGGGTTGACAAAGTATCTGTGTGTCTTCGTATCTTTGAGATACATTCGCAGCGAGCTCTAATGCAAGTCGCTCGCGCTTAACAATTAGACAAGCGCCAGCCCAGAGTCTGCCTGTCGTATTTTTATATTATTTACTAGCTTTTCCTTGCATTTTCTTAAAGAGTTTTCTCTTCTCGCTGCGCGGCACTGCGCTGGCTGATGTTTATGTGGCATTTAATTAATTGCATGCCAGCTACTTAGATGTTGGAGTAATTTTTCATAAAATTTATTTGTCATTTTCATGTGGGGCAGCAGATAAATCAACTTAATTAGCTTTTGACATGGGCGCTAAGATAACTCTTCATGCAATAAATAAACGCAGCGCAATTTGCAATGCAAAAGGTGTGTACGTCTCTGCAAAGTTCTTGGAAAGCTGCTGCAGCCATAAGAGAGAAACAACTGTGAAAAAAAGCTCAAGTATTGCCAACTAATAGCCATGACAAATAGCTAAATTAATGGGGGAGCAGGAGGCGTGCAGTTGTGTGTGTGGGTGTGTGTGTGTGTGTGTGTGTGTGTTGTCGATGTTGCATTAGAGCGAGGCACTCATTATTAATATTATCAGTCGGCTGATATCAGCGCACATTTTTCAACAGGAGTTTGAACCGTGACTTTTTAGCCAAAAAGGTTAGCCAGCCGAGTTACAAAAACAAAAAAATAATGAGTGGGGAACTGATATTGCTCAAGGTATGCCAAAATCGCCTACAAATTGAAGAAGCAGCTGTGTGCAAAATCAAACAAGTTGGACACAGCAAACCTAAAGGACTGAGGGGTTAGGGTTCAAGGCACAGATACACACACACATATACACACACACACACATACGCATATGCATAAGCATAGGCTACAATTAATCTTGAGACGTGAAGGGGGTTGCCTTTTGGAATAAATTTCACATACTGCGCCCTGCCACCGGACAGAGCGGCAAGCACAGTGAGACAGACTGGCAGGCAGACTGAGCGACAGACAGACAAGTGAGACAGCGGCGAGAAAACGAGTTGGGCCAAGTATCTGCAAGTACGTGTAGCTCAGCTTTTGGAAGTGAATCAGCTGAAAGGACGCAAACGGCGCACATTATGGCATTTTGAAGCCAAAGCATGACAGAGAGAGAGAGAGAGGGGGAGAGAGAGAGAGAGAGAGAGAAAGAGGGAGAGAGAGGGGCGAGCGGAGAGTGAGCTGTAAAGAGAGCGCTCACATAACGCATAACTGGCAATGATATGCGTCTAAGCGCTTTACTATTTATTTTCGAAAAAAAAAAAAAAAACATTCTCGCAGCGAGACTTGAGAGACTAGCATAGAACAAAATAGATTGCTATCGTGGCAACATCATCAGCGGCAGTTGGAGCAGCAGCAGCGCCCCCAAAAGATATACAACAACAACAGCAAAAGCAACAGCAGATACATGTATCTGTTAGCTACATGCATGGCAACATGCGGCTGGCAGAAAACACCTTCAGAATGCAGCGAGGCGGTCACTGAGCCACATTTTTTGATTGTTGTTGTTGTTGTTGTTATTCTAGTTGTCTGTGTTGTTGTTGTTGTTGTTGCTGCTGCGCATGCGTACAAAATGCTGGGTGATTAATAATAATAAAAGCGCCTACAATGCATAGTACAGTGGTTGCAGCTGCGCAATGTATCTGTGAGATACTTTTTTATGCGCTGTTGATAAGAAGAACTGAGGGCAGTTGATAGCCTGATGAGTGTGTGTTGCAGTTTAGGCTTAAGCTTCTTAAACTTTATTTAATATATTCATTAATATAATTCATTTCAAGAGAGCTTGGCTGGAATATTTTTACAATATCTATTTGAGAATTTCTTTAAATGAATTTCTTAAGAAATGAAACATAAAATATTGACAAAATAAACAAATTTATGTTTATAAAACTTGAATTTAATTATAGTTATAGTGAATTTCAATATATTATAGTCATAATGAATTTCAATATTCTTATAACTCAATATTCTAATTTCCCATTACTTTTGCTAGTTTTTATACAAGCTCAACCACTGTGCGCATGTAGCTACGCTCCGCAGCTGTAATTTCTCTCTGACTAAAAGCAGAACATTTGAAGAGATACGAATATGACAAGTTCAGCCTGGCTGTTGTACTAAATGCCAGCGCTGCGTGCAGCGTTAATCTAAACTCATGAGTGCAGTTTTTTGCCCCACAGCTGAAGTACCTACACCCTGGCCGCCGTCGCTCTCCCTCTCTCTCGCTCTCTCTCTTACTCTTTCTCTCTTTTTGCAGTCCCTCTGCCAACTGGCATCTCGACCAGGTCTAAGACAATAAAAAGGTGGGCGCTTCATTTAGCGGCCACAGCCGCCACAATTTGCATGTTTGCACAACAATTGTTTGGCTTGCTACAAAAGCGCGCACCGTATTTTATTTAGATAATAATAATTTTTTCCACTCGTTCTCTTTTCCTATTTTTTTTTGTTTTTATTTTTTATCTAGCGATAAGCGAGTCGAGTGGAGATGCGTGCGCGGGATCGCGGCAAGTTTGTTGTGTTGTAACGGCGTTTTGACCAGCCCAAAGTATCTGAGAAGTGCGCCGTCTTACATAATACGCAGCTCAAGTGGCGGCTGCTTTTTTGAGATATTTTCTGCGAAAAATTTCATATGCAAAAATAGCTGAGATTGCGAGGGACTCTCAGGCGATATTTAGATACAAAAGTATCTGAAAGCAGGTTGATACTAGTCAAAAGATACAAAAGTATCTGAGCTAGACTTGGCTGTTGGATATACAGTGAAAACTAAAAATATATAAATTGTTGTTGTTTTTTTTTTAATATCTTTATCTTACTTTAAGTAATTGCAACTGTAACTGTACTTGAATAATATTATTTGTTAAGTAATTTTAGTAGCCGCAAAAGTATCTTTATGGCTGAGATTGTGTAAATGCATCTAATTAAAGTTTTCGACTAACAACAAGCAGAATATTAGTGGCACAGTGGTAACTGGCTACAGCAGAAGGCAGATTCTATGATCATCTAGTGTAGGGTTGTTGAGATACAAAATAATCTTTTTTTACGCATCTGCAATATTTATGGCTTTGACTCAGACTTGCAGCAGGTACAGTAAATACACGCTATTAGATGAGGATATACACAAATAACAGCAGCCGAGTTTGTTTGGCAAATCAGCTATGTCTGAGATACAAAAGTATCTTTTGCGTATTGCAACAATAACTCAGCTCAGTTAGCGTGGGCTTTGCACCAACTAGCTAAATCAAATTGGAATTCTCACACAACCAGGTGTGGACTGCTTGTGTTTTCGTAAACAGTTAGCAAAGTAACTACGACTGTTGTCATTCGACGAGCCTCGCTCCCTGCACACCCACCTCAGGCAGCTGGCCAACTTGTCTCACATCACCGAATTTTATTGCCAACTCATCAAACTGCCATAATTCACAGTAACTGTCAAGATCAGCACGCTTTTGAGTAGTTGGCGAGTCTGCGAGCTGAGCTGCCAGCCAAACTATCTGAGGCCCAAACATTTCTGTTCAGTCATCATCGCTGCAGATCCACTCGGAGTGGGGCAGCGCTGGCGCAGTCACAATTGAAATCAACTGTCGACTGGCAGTCAATGGATATCTGGCGATTAGAATTAGGCCCGGCTGGGGTACTCACCTTCACAGGTAAATTGTCCGTAGTGCTTGCCGGAGCTCTTGTCGCCGCAGACGACGCACTCGATGTTCTGTTTGGAGTCGATCTGGGAGCCGCTGTTGCTGCTCTGGGAGTGGGAGCTGTTGGCCTGGGAGCTGGGCGTGGTGCTGCCGCCGTTGTTGCCGCCCGCCGAGCCGCCCAGGCAGCTGGCCGACTGTGAGCCCTTGATGATGGGCACCAGATCCACCGAGCCGTGGCCGGACTGGCCGCCGCTTGTGTGATGGCCGGACGTGGAGCCGCTGCCATTGGCGCTGGGTAAGCTGGAGAGATCCTCCTTGATGACGTGATGCGCGCTTTGGTTCAGGTTCGCCGTGGAGGCGGTCAAGCCGGACAGATCCTGCTTGATGCCCGACGACTGTTGGCTGGCCACGCTGCTGGGCGTGGTGCCACCACCGTTGCCGCCCCCACTTGTGTTGGTGCCCGCCAGCGAGCCGGGTCCGGCCGAGGCGTGCAGATGGCCACCCAAATTGGGATCGTGCCAGGCACTGTGCGGCGGCACGCCCAGCGTCATGGAGCGCGACAGGCCCAGATCGAAGGCGGACAGCTCGGCGCCGGACTGCGGCCGCGGGTTGAAGAAGCCGGGAGCCGTGGACGGGGAGGCGCACATGACGCCGCCACCGTACACGCTCAGGGAATTGTGCGTAATAATTTTGGCGGCCGGATCGGAACACGTGGAATAACCGCTGGAATACACTTTGCACGGACTTTCCACGCCCAAAACGCAGCAAAGTCACCAAAACAACTTCTTTCCGAAAATTGCTTTCAATATTTTTCCCAAATATTTTTTTCACACTTTTTGGGCAGAGTATTTTCTGGGCATAAATATTTTTTAAAGAATTTCTTTTCGAATGCAATTTTGTTGTTAATTATTTTCTTTTTGATCTGCACATTTTACACAAAACACTTTCTGTGGTTTTTTTCAATTTTCAATTTATTTTCAATATTTTGTAAATATTTCTTTATTTTTTTATTTCAAAAATTTATTTCGTTGATTCACGCACACGATTTAAAATTTTTGCGACTTGTTGAAATATTTAATTTTATTTGATTAAATTTTTTGAAGATATCTTTAATTTGTTTGCTCGCCTTAGCGCTGCACTTTGATTTGCTCATATATGTGTACATATATATTTATTTCGATTGTAATATATTTGAAAGAAAATTCAAAAATTTTTCTATCTTGTGTGGAAAATGCGCGTCATGCGAGCAGCGAAATCTCAGCTGTTCTCGTAAGGCCTTTTAGAGCCTGACTGGCAAAACATTCGTGGCAAAAGGTACACGACCCGACCCGACTCGACCGTTTCGACCTAACGACACATCACACAAATCTCTCTCATTCCACCACAGATACAGAGATATACAGCAACAGCAACTGCACCCCGGCGACTGTGTCTGCTCTATTGCTGCACTGTTCGCGCTCACGGCGACCCAATGGCCTGCCCGCAATTGAGTGGAAATCTTCGCTCGCACTCGCACTCGCACTCGTACTGGCGCTCGCGCTCGGCAAGAGCGAGCACTCTGCTCTCTTTGGTGGCGGGGCAAGACCTTCGATGCGTTTGGCTGATTTGCTCAGCGGACTCACCACCACCACCACCATCAGTACCACTACTACTACCACTCCAACCATTAGCATGAATATGAACTACCACTACCATCACCAACCGCCGCACCACCACCACCACGAAAACACCTCACTCACTCTCCTTCTCCGACTCTCTCACTCTCTGTGAGTGCATTTTGTGGCCGGCTCTCGCGCTCATTTGATTTGCTGGGCGTCCAACAAGAACTTGTTTCTGTTAACATTTTCTTATTAGTTTTGTTGTTGGTGCATCTGTTCGTTGCTTTACCGTTAGGTTTCTTATCTATTTGCAGCCGAAATCCGCTTTTTTAGCAGAAAAAAACTAACTTTAAAATGAGCTCCACCTACCCGAAAAAAATAACACATACTAATATGTGTATCTATGTATATATACAAAATTTGAGTCGAAAAGTTTTCTGGTTGGTTGATTAAAGTGCGTCGTGCTCCACATTTTGTCGTTTGCTTATCTTTGCTCAGCTTTAAAGTAATGGCCGATATGTGGATATATATGCGTATATATATGTATGCGTGTATATATAGATATTGGAGCTGCCATTGGCTGTGCCCAGAGATAAGCTAAGTAAACTTTCGTTAGAGTTTCCAATAGTTAGGACTTGCTCTTTAAAGTGGGCGCAAAGTGAAAATTCAGTTGTCTTTTCCATATTTTAGTTTTTCATATTTTCTGCCCTACTTGCACTACGCCCCATTTGCCGTTACTTGGGGGAAGCCCCTTGACTGCTTGTGTCTTAATAAAATTAGAATAATATTCGATGCTAATTGGATGAGGCGTGTGCTCTGGTTGGACTCCAGTTACGTGTCACGACACGCAATTGGATACACTTCAAAAGTGCCAAAACATGAAATCATATTTTAATTTGATTTTAACGAGAGGCCGTAGGCGATGCCACATGTGGCACCTGCCCCCCGCCACAACGGGCGTTGCACAATTAGAGACGCCAACATAAATTGTTTTCCCCAACATTGTGGAATTAGCATTTTGCAGCGATTTGCACGCAAAGAGCGTAGAAATTGAAAAAGATTTAAATGCCGAAGAGGCCTAAACAATTTTTAGGCACGCGAGCAGCGGTTAGAGGACCGAGGGGCACTCCTCCCCGGGCAGCACCGAAGAAGTTGCAAGTGCAGCAAAAATATATTGAAAAGAAAAGAAGACAGACAGAAAAAAGTCTCGACCCAGTTGAGGGGCCAAATGTAGTGGGCCACCCCTAACCCGTTGCATGCCTTGCACTTGGGGCTGGGCATGCAGAGCAAATATACAATTGGATGATCAGCGAGTTGAAGTGTTGCAAGCGATGGGGGAAAGGGGGCGGGATGGGTGGAAAGGGACCGCAGGCAGCTGCTAATAAGTCGAGTGCCAATTCGAAGTGCTCGCTGTGTTTCCAATAAGCACACGCACTCGCACTCTCACTCACACTCACTCAATGTTTCGTCAAGTTTTGCTGAGTCGCACTCACGAGCGGATACACACATATACACTCACACACACTTTCGTCGCTCTCAAGCGCGCTCTCCACTCAATGCTTGGCAACGCCCTCGTTAGCCTTGCGTCTCGCTCGCACCGGCACGCAGCTGTCTCGCTTGCACGCGACTGGCTTATCATTAACTGTATCGGAATTCGCTTTTTGTTGGCGCTCTTTAAAAACAAAACAGAAACAACAGCAAAAAACCAAAAAGAGAAGAATAAGGCAGAGTAAAAAAGGAGAGCAGCGCCAAGTGGCAGCAGCTAGAAATGTTGAGTTTGCTTTTTATTAACACCGCTAGATGTCTCTCTCTGGCGCCCATTAAAGTCTAATTCAATTGGATTTCAGTGGCTGCTGCCAAATGGGGGGCCGGGCGGTAGCTCAGCACATCCTGCAGCTGGATTTTTTTTTTTTTAACTTTCTATTCTCTTTTTTATGGTAAGCGTCCTGCCTTTGAACCTAATCTCGTGGTTCTCGGCACCTCTTGTTAGTGCCTCGTATGTTACTCGTGTGGCAGCTGGCGCCCCCCTCCCCCACCCCTTCGACCCTTGGCAGTCCCCTCCCGTTGCTCGCTGCTCCTTGGGCAATGCATTGTTGTGGTCGTGGCTCTGCGCAGAGTTCGCGCAGCCAGGCAGCACCTCCACCCTTTTGGGTTAAATACTGACAACCCCATTTGAGCGCCTCTTTGCACTCGCTGCCCGCTGCCCGCTGTCCACCCGCTGCCCCTTGTTGCACCTAGCCCACAACTTTTGCCATCATGTTGGCAACTGGCCAGTTCCATTATTCCGTTTGCTTCCAATCTTTTTCTCTTTTTTGCCTCCTGCTCGCTGGCGCTTCGCTGGGCAGTTCATTGAAAGTAGGTGCCTTTCCGTTAAATGTTCCCTTTAAACAAAACGAACAAAAAAACAAGTAAGAAGGCTCCAGTCGAGACTGCTCGACTAGGAGATACCCTGAACCCTCCAAGCTGATATTCTAATCATTCTGGACCTATTTTATGCACACATACAAACACATGCATCCACACGCATGCATAAGCCTGCGCTCTGCTAACTGCGCAGTAAGCAGCGACTGCGCTTGGGCTGCGCTGCAGTGTGGGCAATATTATGAAAATTTATTTGTTAAATAATTTCTTTTGTAGACATACGATCTTAATAAAACTTTCAGAGCATAATCATATGGTGAATATGTATGTACATTCCAAAGCACAAGACTCTAGTACTTGAAATGCAAATTACAAATAGGGGGAGAAGGGGGCGTGGTATCCAAAATCTGTAAATTACAAAATCTTTGTATCGATTAACTTTATATACAACGCAAATTTGAAGACTCCAGGTCCAAAAGTGTTCAAATTAGGCTGAAAAAACAATGTCGATTTTTCGATTATTCTCGATAAAAAAGTTATCGGACGATTTATCGAAAAAATAAAGCAAACTCGTACTACGTATGGTACACACGAGTATGCATGCCAAATTTCAGCTCTCTAGCTCTTGTAACTTCTGAGATCGACGCACTCATACGGACGGACGGACAGACGGACAGGGCTATATCGACTCAGCTCGTCGCGCTGATCAAGAATATATATACTTTGTGGGGTCTGCCACGCCTCCTTCTGCCCGTTACATACTTTTTCACAAAACCATTATACCCTGATTTCCCATTTTCAATGGGTTCAGGGTATAATAACAAATCAGAGAAACTGTTGGGCACAGTGGAACCTCAAGATATTTTTTTATTGAACTAAATTTATTTCGATAAGACTAAAAGTTAATGATATTTTTACATAAGATTGAGATTTTTAGTAATAAAATCAATCCTAAAACAGTTAATAGTTGTTGATTGTATCAATGTTAAGTCTATTGGGAAATGTTAGCCATGAATAAATTAATAAAATAATATCTAAGTAGTTCATAATCTGAATTGATATTGATAAAAACTTTTTTCTAATAATCATTAGTTCGTAAAATTAAAATAAAATCATATCATCTAAAAACTAGGATCAACAAATATTCGTTAGATTAATAAATATTATTTTCATATATAAGAAATAATTTTAATAAATAATAATATTTAGAATATTATATACAAATTCAATACATACAGTATAAATATTTAATTCATAAATGAGTTAAATTATTTAGGCGGATAGAAATTAAGAAAATATCAGGAATTGTTTATATATCAAATACATCAAAAAATCCATCAAAATAATTTATTATTTATTAAAATAATTTCTTAAGTTATTTTGGTTTATTTATTTATTTTTTTTAATGCTATATATAAATTTAAAAATTATAAATGAAGCAATAAATGATGTTTAATAATAAGAGATTGGATATGTTTTATATAATAAATATATTAACATAATACCATTTTGTCTTAATAATTATAAAAATAATATTATATTGACTTTTATATGTATTTACTGTTCTAACTATAAATAAATTTAATTCACTCAAAAAATTATATTTATACCAAGGTGAATAATTTAATTGTTTCAAAGAATTTAAAAGAGTTAGCTAGGTTTGAATACATATAACAGGGCGAGTTGGCTGATATAACGAAACAGTTATATCTACTTATATGTAGTATTCCGAGACAGCAACTACTATATAGACAGATGGTACAAGTTTCTGGACTCCTAAAGTTTGACTTGTTTTTAGAGGCTCTACATGTTTGCATTTAGTTCTGCTGCACAAATAGTTATAGGAGTGTTAGAAATATATGCGCCAAGGACTCGAGCAGGAAGTGCACTTATATAACTCATGTGTGCACGCACACAGACACACACGCACACACACAGGCACATAGATACATGCAGATTTCAGACAAAGGCAAACTTGGCTTACAGCAGCCAACTGGCATATAATTTACATTGTTGCTTGTTTCCTCTTTGCCACGCCCTCAACTGCCCAACCGCCCCGCCAGCCCCGCCC